TTCCATAGCGGGAAAGGACCGTGAGGGTGTCTGGGGCCCTGTTTTCCCATCGGATCGTGCACCAGCGAACTTGATGGGATCAATCCAATAGTGTGTGCTCCATGCTGGGGGAGTGGACGAACTGTGAACTGAGCTGCAGGAGTCTCCTTTGCGAGTTCCGAGCTGAACTCACAGGGGCAGGGACGAGTCGAGAAACTAAAGCCGCATGATGTTGGATATTTGGAATCAGGTTTTGATGGGGCGTGGGGTTTATTTCTCCGCAGGATTCTCTCAGCTGGAGTTCCTGTGGGGTTTGAAGAGCTGAGTGGTTCCCAGCTACACAGGTGAATGACTCTTCCTCTCTGCGCCGGTCACGTCATGTCATCCCGGCGGGACCCTGCTACTCGTAGGCTGATTCACCCGGAGCAGTCTATTCTGTACCAGTTTCGGTGGGACAAACGGCCTGGGCCCCCTGCCACTGACCATCCATCCGCCCAACGCCGACCCGACACGTGCCGTGGCGAGTGGCTTCCGTGCGATCGCCGAAACGCCGACGAAGCCAACAGCCATGAGACGAACACGGCCGGGAACGCAGCCACCGAAACCTGGGCTTGTGGTGGCCACAATCCCTCAAACCTAGTGGTCACCAGTTGGCCTTCAAACCCTTCCGAAGGTGTGACTCCTTCTCGAACCTCGCAGAGATCGTTCGGAGATGTTTTCGGAGTGGGTGCCCAAATACTGACTGGTGCGACGAAAGTAGGGAATGAGGGTGGCTGGATCCAATAGAATCTCTATTGGGTCTCCTTCCCTTATTCCCTACTTTCGTCGCACCAGTCAGTATATCTCATCAACTCGAGTCGCCCAGCCTTCCGTCCCCTGGCGCGTGGTGGGGATGGTCAGGCCGCAATGGCCGCCGAGCTCCCTTCCAGGCCGGCGGGGGGGCCGACGGAGGCACCGTTTGGGGTTCGCCTGGGCGATGCGGGCCATGCTGGCAATGGCCGCTCTTGTAGCGGCAACTGACGCAAGGGTGCAAGGGGTATTGGGAGTCCGCTGTAAGCTGTAAGCTTCTGTCTTCTTCCTTTGGTCCAGAGGACTGTGATTCAACCAGCAAGCTTGCTTGATCCATTCAATGGGACAAGCAAAAGACGTGGAATCTTACAGAGGACAAATAACAACGCAATACACGAACGGGATGCTCCAGAGCACTGCACCAGCACTCGAGAGCATGTGTACTTACTCTTTGTTTCCGGTTCCTTCCGGTTCCACTTCTGTGTTTCAAGATGCTGCTTATGACGAGTAGGTGACACTGAAAAAGCAAACCAGTCACCTGACACTGACCACCTGACACTGACCGAACCACTAGACTCACAAAACCCATTGGATCAAGCCGCCCTTTTGATCTCCGGTCTCCCTCCCTCAGATTTGATACCACAAACACATACGAAAAACAAGATCAAACAGGGTCTTGGACGTGGGAAGTAAGATCTTCCGCTGGGTTAGGCCTCATTCTCTCACATGAGGTTCGATCGGCGAAGGAGCTGGCGCGGAGCCGCTCACGGGATGCCAGTAAGGTGGGCGTCGGGTATCGACTGGCAGACGGTCGTCGGGTGGAAAAGACAGAGTTCAACAAAACAGCATGAAGTTAGTGTTTTTTTTGTTGCAGCAACAGCAAGTTCTTTTTTGGGTGTAGGGTGGTTGTCGGAGCGGACATCTAGCATTCAGCTGACTGTTGGAGTCTTTCGCGGACATCAGAGACTGAGATACCCGATGTCCGCCGAAGATGCGTTGGGCAAAGATGCAGACTTGGTCCAAGTGCTGCAACTGCCTCCAGATTTCCAGTTGTCTTTTTCTGTGAAAGATGCCAGGGTCATGACATTGGTTCTCTTTGTGAACAATTTGAAGGATTTATGGAAGGATAGTTGAAGACATGACTTTTTCCAGAGAACGCGTGTGAAGGGTTGTCCCACGACGCTTTGATGTTGGCCTTCTCTTTGGCATTTCCTTGTGGCATCCCTATATGGGGGTCGAAGCTGCCCCAATGCAGCTTGACCTGCACAGCGGAGGAATCAGTTCATAAGCCCCGGCCGGAGGTTCAACAGAGCTTGGCCATGCCCAAAAGCTCCAACTCTGTTTTGAAGTGCACCACTAGACGATCGTTGGACTCTTGCCCGCTGACCAGGCACGAAAAAGGAGTCCTTCCAAAGAGAAGGCTCAGAAGGCTCTCAACGGGAAAGGAATCGTTTTTGTTCTACTCACCAGAGGTCCTGAGGTCTTGGTCTTGGTTGATCCCAAAGACGAGTTGCATGGGGTTTGCACCCGAAGAACTCCCGCATCAACTCCCCGGTCAGAGCCGGATCTTTGGGCGGGCGTGTGGCGGAGTGGCCTTGGGAGCCAGCTCCAAGGAGTGGATGTTGCGCAGATCTCATTCTCACCTGTCCATGGACTATAGAGATCCTACTCACCCGTGCTGTACCGGGATGTGGAGTGACTCTGGACCATGGTCAAAATCTGGTAGGACACCTTTTGGTTCCAAGGCTGACCTCGTCACCTATCTTCTGTCATGAGTCATGGCAAGATTTGGATCCCATCTTTGCTGAAAGGGCAAGTGCTGATGGACTGAAGGAAGGGTCGGAGCTAAGGTTCCTGCTTCCACTTCCCACTTGCCAGGAAAAAGGAGACAAAGAGAAGGAGAAGGAGAAGGACAAGGAGAAGGACAAGGAGAAGGACAAGGAGAAGGGAAAAGAGAAAGGAAAGGCCAAGGACAGAGAAAGAGACAAGGAGAAGGGCAAGGAGAAGAGAAAAGATAAAGAAAAGGCGAAAGAAAAGGACAAGGAGAAACACACAACCCGTTTATCATCTCGTGCAAGAGTATTCTTGATGACTTATGTACCCCCATGTCTCCAGGTCGATCACTTGGCATCCCTGACCCAAACTGAAAAAACGGGAGTCCTCCCGTCATGGCGGGGGCGCCGCTTGCGCCTCGAGGAGAGGAAGAAGAAAAGCCGCCGTAGCAGCTCTTCCAGCAGTCGCAGCCGGTGTGGAGCTGAGAGACGTCACCCTCGCTCGTCGACGTTCGCCGGTCGCCGGGCGCCGAGAAGTTCCCCTGAGTTCCGCCGGGGTTCGCCCTGGTTTGGAAAGCGCGCAGCACGGGAGAATGGAAGGGATGTAGCTACACCCAATCTTGCTTGGATTCTTCTGGTCAACGATCGCAATGTGAAGGATTTCTATGGTACAGACTGGCGCAGAAGCTCGTGGACCCTGCAAGTACGGGTTTGGGGTCTGAACTCAAATTCCTCACTTTTTTGAGGCACCAGTGGGGCCTTACGCCGCTCCTTCCGCTCCTTCCACTGCCTTTTCCACTGCTCCTTCCTCGCTATGTAGGTCGAAGCGAAAGAAGAGCGGCAAACGGCGTGCAGACAGGTCCCCTTCCAGGAAGCGCCCTGGCAGAGACGGGAGACCAAAAGCAGCCTGCTTGGTCTCCATGGCCTGGCATGCTTAGCAGGTTGATGGAAAGGAACACCCCTCAGGTGAAGAACCAAGTTCGGAATGTGATAATCCAATTATATGATAACCCAATCGACGCCTCGATTCTCGAAGGAACATGATTGCTTTGGGTCTGGAGTCTGGAGTCTTTTTTGGAATGGCATTTTCTTCCCGGGGTGCTGGTGGGAAGATGCCAGAACTTCTGGCCACTCAGTCAGGAGATGACAGGACGAGAGTGTGTTGGGGACACGAGGCGCAATAGACCGGTCAGGAACCCCTGGGTAACTGAGTTAGTTGACATCCTGAAAGCCACCAGTTTACATCCGTTTTCCATGAATGCAAGCCGGTCCTGTCTCAGCGGCGAGCAGTTTTCGATTGATGAACCAGACAGATGGTGCTTCCCGATACCGGCTTGTTCAAAGCCTGTTAGAGTTGATCAGTTGAGCTGTGATTGATCAGCGAGATCGCCGATGCAGGTAGCTCGGCTCGGCCCAGATGCGAAGCGCAAGACGCTTCGGTTCAGAGGTGATGGATGCTTTTTGTTTGTGATCCCGCTTGTGCCACTTCTTTCCCCCTAAGGAGAAAGAAGAGAAAGAGCAGCAGCAGCAGCTGACGGGATGAGTCAAAGTGCGAGCACAAACCGAGGTCAAAGATGGTGACATAGATGGGCTCACCCCCATTCGTCCCGGTGTCCAAGCCCTTCCACGTTCGTACACAAACTTGGTCAAAAGTTTGAGAGTGCATGAGTTGGTAGAGGGGATTCATTTCTGCCACATGGATCGTTTCCGCTGCACTTTGACAGCACACCTGCTTGCGCTTGCAGTTCCCACAGAACCCGGTCTGCGCCTGGAAAAAGGAGGAAAAAGGGAGGGTGAACTTAACCTGCAGGTGTGCGATGCAATGGTTCTGTTATCTGACCCTCATAAGCCTCTAGAAGGACGTGACGGTCTGGGTTTGTCTCTCTGAACAGTCGATGGGTAGTCTTCGGGCCACGTGTTGAGACTCTCTTTCCCCGTGCACGGTTCTGCCACGAGTGCGTATGCTTTCGGCACGTATTCAGAGTCCAGAAGGTGGCAGGACACAAGAAGCCCGACATGTGTGGGTCATGAGACCAGGGTCAACTTAGGGGCTTGATCAGGATCCGACTCCTGAACGAACCAAGATGTTATGGACACTTAGTCTGCCATCGAAAGATATCTTTGACCACTAGAGCCTGGCAGCCTGGCTGAAACCTTGCTTTCCGGAGCCACAGAGTTCGGTGAATTTGGTTCCCCAATTCCGTGTTGGCAAGCGGACGCCATTGGCAGAGGCTTCTCCTACTTGCACCAAGTAGGCGCGACTCACGTGTTTTCGTTCTCATGAGTACTCCCTGCCTTTCGCCTGGCACGCGGACGGTCCCTTCCCTAAGGCCCGATTGTGGCGAGAAAAACACTTCTTGGCTGGGAGCCATTCTGAATACCCCAACAAAAAAGGTGGTGAGCACTTCCTCCACTTCCTTCTTAACCAAGAAGTCGGATGAGCACTTGCCCGGCCTCCGCAGTTTTTTCTTCCGTGTTCCCGCGGCCGAAAGCGCTTTCCCGCGGCAGCCCGGCCGACACTTTTGGTGTGAACACTGGGTAACCAGTGAGGTTGAACAGATCCGGTCAGATTTGTAGGTCACGTGTAGGTGTTTGATTGGTGTGATTTTTCAGGAAATATATATATATATATATATTTGTGTTTTATTTTTTTCATATGTATGTATATGTATATGTATATATATATATACAGATGTTTGCTGCGTACTTGCATGTCACTTTTGCGCGTGCCAAATCTCAACAGGACAAAGATCTCGTCGCTTTACGTAAGGATAAAGGAAGACAAGTGGCCAAGCGAATCCATTAACCAAAAGTCTTTGGAGAGGGGGAACGCTCGTTTCAGCTCATGGGGTCTCTGATGGGGTCTTGTTTCAACCTGAGCATAGTATTTTCGTTTGTTGGAGCTGCTGAGTGAGTGGGGTAACACCAACACTTGCCACATCCAATTCTTGCACTGGAAACAAACACTCTCTAAAAGCAGGGTCCTCGAAACAGCAGTGAAACGGCGGAGCAGTGTCGGTTTATATCTAGAACCCACACATGACCCTCCTTTAAAGAGGAAAAGACCATCATTTTGGGTGGTGGGTGGCAGTCTATTTCGTTTATGTGTCCGATCGCACCCGGCTGGTCTTTGGAGCTTCCGTTGCACTTGGAGCCTGCAAAGGTGGTGCACTCCCCCAAGGAATCCTCCTGGTTTTTTCGGAGAATGAACACCACCGGAACCTGGGTCGGAAACGGAGGGTCGTCCCTCCTCTTTTGGGGCTCGGATGCTTTCGATACTTACCTTCCCATGGATCATCTGCAGGGCTATAGTGGATCAACTGCACCATGTTGTTGGGGGGGCAGCAGTAGGACACCCCACGGTTGAGATACGATGCCATCCACCACTTCCACCACTTCAGCCGATCACAACCCAAAGATCCCGAGGTTGATCGAAACGAGCGATGGACTTCCCGTGGCCTGGACTGATGAAACGAGAGACGGATGAAACGATGAGACGGATCGTGAAGGGTTGGTTAGAACGAGTGAGGGGAACCCGATCGTTGCACCCGACAACACATTTAGACAACGTTGCATTCGAAGAATGTTGGCCGTTAGCCGGTGACCTTTCTGTTCTGTATAGATGTCCTTTCATGGTTCGAGGTGGACCGGCGGAACATTTGGAGTGTTTTTTCCGTTTGCGGCCTGGACACACTGTTTTTGGGGCGACCACATTTCCAGCTCCTTCAACGCCATTTGGCGGCTTCTGAAACAGAAGTTCTTGAAAGCAAAGTCGCTGCAGGTGGGTCAATCCACCAGGCATCCAAGCAATGGAGCAGACGTTTCTGGCTTCTCACCATGGGCCATCAGGAGATTTATCCTGTATGACTCAGGCTCAACAAGTCGGAGGATTCCAAAGGGTCTCATAGTGTCATACGGCTCGAGTGGCGAGACGTTGCCTCGCTAGTGAGACGTCACACCACGCTCGTGGCGCGGACTAGGTGTAAACAGAAGGACCGACTAACACACACACACACACATAACGGAGTGATGCTACCCCCTCCGCCCGCACTTACGCCAATGTTCGTGTGAAGAAGGACCTCTACCTTTTTGTTAGCCTCGACCCACTAAGCTGTGACCCAAATCCCAGCCAACTGCTGGGGAAGATCTGCTTTTCATCACTTTTCATCATGTGGACTCTGGTTAAAAAGCTTTACAATAGGTGTTCGTTCTTCCATCAGGATTCCAGTGATTGCTCCTCACTGTCCTCCCTGATTTCACCTGGGATCACCTGAACCCACCTTTGGCTTTCTTCGTCTCGCCCCTCTTAGGCCATTTGCCAAGCGTTTCCCGGGAGGTCCGGTGGAGGTGCCGCAGTTCGGGATCGACCTGGGTCCGATCCGACCTGAGTGCAGTGCAGTGCATCTGAGTGCCCACACCTTGAGGGGTTTCTGGATGTGCCAGCCAACCAGGTTTGGGAACCGATCCGTTTGCCCACCATGGTTCAGAGCTTTGGGGGGATGGGAGCCTTGGACGATGAGAAGCTTCGCTGCTCAGGGTTTGGCGTTTCCTGGCGTGCGTGGTTTCTGATCGGAAGAAGTTGGGCTAGAAAGGACCCAGTTAGGGCTAGAAGGAACTTTGCAGGGATACCACAGGTGTTGCATTCTCAAACAGTTGCATCCCAAGCCATAGCAAATCACCATGTCATGTTCGTCTTTGTCAACAGCTTCCAGAAATTGCAGCCAACTACCTGGACGCCCATCCATACCAAACCCCCTATCACACATAGAGCACCAACGCCGCCGGTCTGCGCTCCACCACGTTGTCCAACGGCCACCACGGACTGGAGGTTCCGAACCTCGGAACCTCGGAACCCGTCCGTGGTTCTAGCGTTGTGAAGTCGAAGCGCACAAAAACCGGTTCACGAGGAACAAATGGTTTGGTTCGTGAAAAAAGGTTTCCCCTGCCCTAATCGGTGTTCGCCTCTTTCTTATGCCTCTTTGATTGGCAACAAAAACCAGCATCCTGTCTGCTCTAGAATGAAGGGGGATTTCAAAAGGAACCCTTTTTGTTCATGCAGATAGCCCTTGCTACCGGTCTAATACAATTGATAACCTTGTGCCTAGGCAACCTGTTGATAACACAAGGGTATCATGAAGCAACCTTGAAGGAACATCGCTGTATATTCATACTCCGCTGAGTCTCCAGGGCACTCTGGGGGGCACTCTGAGCGACAGCAGTTGCCGCAGTCGGTGAGTCGGTCTTCTATCCCCAACGACATGTGTACATGTGATTCCACTGCATGGCAGCATGGCAATTGCTCTGGAAGTGGCAAGCACTGCTCTGTTTGTCGCCAACATGTTTTGCTGATACTGATGAGATTATACTATGCAGAAGACGTTTTTCGTGTCACTCACAGGGCGATTTTTTTTGAGAAACCGCATGAGACTGGTCTCCGCTCTGATGAGACCGATCTCCACTCCTCAAATAGAGAGGGACTGGCAGAGAATGTTGAGAGACCCCCCCTGCTGTTGGTTCAGAAAAGGTGCGGCTCAAGGAACGAGGGTGGCTGGACCTCTCATTCCCTACGAGTCGCACCAGTCAGTTTGTTTCGACATTGTTTCGACTATCCAGTGGTAAGTCTTTGGAGACACGTATACCACTTCCAAGAAGGAGACACATTTTCCTGCTGGCCAAGCCTCGCAATTCCCCGCCATAGAAGAGTTTTCCGTGTCGCACATTCTCCGTCTCGCCGTCTCGCGCGAGAAGGAGTCCCCTGACCGCTCAGCCGGGTTTCCGGCGCCATGCCGTTTGGTACCGCTCTGATGGACTTGTTAACGAAGCAACCAAGTTCTTGGGCCCCCAAGTTCAGGCTCCGTTTTCTGAGTTCTACTCTCAATCCAGAAGAACACACTTTCCGACCTCACACACACATTGTTTGGGGGTCTCTTGCCGGGATATTTAAAGAAGTCTTAGGACCAGTCCTCGCTGTCCATCTCCTCCTTCTGCCAGGCGATGCACGCCATGCACCCCGAGGTCGAGCGACAGGCGGACTGGACCAAAAAACACCGCGATTGGAAGTGAGGAGGTGGTGCAGTGCCAAAAAATGCAACTTGAGAAGATGGGACTTGAAAAGAGCTGCACGAAGACGCTGTGCCTTTGCCAGGGGGGGGCCATTGCGAACCTTGGTTTGGGATCCCTGTTCAGGGAGTTCGTGGGAGGGAGGGCGAACGCGAGAGGTTCGCTCACTGCGAGTGGTTCGCACATAGCCCGGTAGGGTTTCATGGTACAACTGTTCCATCCCTGAATTCATGTATACTATAGGGGGTGTGCCAAGAAACCTGAAAGAGTCGGAAAAAAGGATCACTCTTTTGGAGAAAGGCCTGCAACTGAACCATCATCATCCACTGGGCCCAGGGATTCGGATATACCCAACATATATAATATATAATATTACATATACACATTTATATTATATAATATAGTATTAATACATATGTACATACTGTCCAACTCACTCACATGGAAGGTGGATGCATTCGTCCGATTTTGGGACGACGGACCGTTCCTTGGCCCACGCTGGGACGGAGTCTTCCTGCCTTCCTGCCGCCCCGCCCGGAAACCAAACGCTCCGAGCCGGCGGGAGACTGCAGCACCCTTCGTGTTTCCCAAGCACCTTTCACCGAAACGCCCCGAGCCGCGGGGCTTCGGACCTTCGGCCCCTTCTGGGGCTCCAGCTCCGGTCCCCTGGGGTGGGTGCTCCAGCTCCGCGTCCGGCGCGCGGTCGACGCTCGCGTCTCGACGCGCTGGACGGTGCGCGTCTCGACGCGAGCGAGTGCAGGTCTTGGACCGACTTCAGGCGGATCGGTGGATGGGTGGAGCAGATCGGTGGTGGTTTACAGGGTCTTGGCGGTTTTTTGGGTGGCTGGGGTCAAGCTCAAGGTCAGTGGGGGGCATTCAGACTGGACCTCTCTTTTCTTTAGTCTTGTTCTGACTTGAAGCCATGGCCCGTCTTCAATGGGATTCTTTCAAAGAAGCTGCCTGTCTTCGAACTCCTGCACCTCCCCGGATGGAGAGCTACTGCGTTTCCTTCGCGTCGGCGGAGAGCCCCGCGCGGGTCCGACGCTTTGAATGCGAGGACGAGAGATCTCTCACTGACTTAGTTGGTGCATCTTGATGCTGTAGAGACTTGCCAACAGCAGCGTTGCACACCAGCCCGAACAAACATGTAGTAGGGATCAAACAGGGATCTCCAAACCCGCAAAAGGTCGTGAAATCAAGGATGTTCTCTCTATGGTCCTGGATTTCACTCCTCTCACGTGTCCGACCACCCGCGGGAAACCTCGTCGCCACCGCGCGCGAGCCACCGCCACCGCGACACTGTCGCCAGATGAATGCCCTTCATGGCTTTCCTCCTGCTGGAGCAATGGGTGCGGCTTCAGTGCAGCAAGTGCAAGCACAGCAAGCGCTGCAAGCGCAGCAAGCGCTGCAAGCGCAGCAAGCCCACGCCATTGGCCGCATGCGCACGCCTGGAGATGGGATGCAGGCGCGCCGCGATCCATCTGTCGTTTTAAATGAACTTAGACCAGGAGTCACAAAGGGCTGGTGTTTAATTAGTCCCTAAGTGAGTGGATAACGGGCGCCACTGTTCTCCAAGTTCGGCACCCGTTTGGGACGGCTGGGAGGTGAATGTTTGGTGGCTTTCTTGGGTCAGAAGAACATCTGCCACACCTTCCGATCTGCAGCTTGGAGATGAACATTTCATCGCAGTCGACGCCGACCACATATTTTGCAAGGGAAGACCTTCACCAGCTCCAATTCCCGTGGCCTCCAATTCCACTTCGCTCCAACTTCGTCGAAAACCCATTTCAACCTGGGTGTCGGAGCGGTTTGGCTCTCTCCTCCTGCATCGCGCAGGCTGCGCAGGCCTGGACGGCTGTTCCTGGCACGGAGGCGCCATGGTGTTCCTGAGCGAAAGCGGGGAAGTGAGATGGTTTGGATTGGAAAGGTCACCCTCTTTTTTCTGCGTGGACATGGAGAATGGGAAAAGCAAGCTAATAGAAATGGTCACCAGAAGAGGAGAGGAGGCTAGCCTCCACTTGGTGTGTTTCGCACCGCTTTTGCCCGACCTGCCGGAGGGTTGGGACCCTGGGACCGGCCAAAGATCCACGCTGGTCGTCGGATGGGATTGAGTGGTTGATCTTGGTGGAGCCGGTGCGGGGATGGGTCGAATCATTTCGAATCCGCCCGAGCAGACGACTGGTAGGCCATGCTGTTCAGAGTGGTCCAAGTGGCCACGGAAGGCCGTTTGCACACGGTGTGACCTCGCTTCGGCACCTGGCATTCTCCCTCTAAACCCTAGGTTCCCTACAGCCCGCCATCTGGCACCCATCGGAATCGCCATGGATGACCATGGAGGGACAGAGATGGTGGACAGACCTTTCTTCCTTTTCTTTTTCTTCGTTTCTTTTTTAGCGATGGCCTCCAAGTGACTAGCGATGACCTGGTGGTTCAAATCTCATCTAAGAGTCCACACATCACATGGAAGTGGATGGACAATGATCCCTTGGGAAGACTGAAGACTCCTCTACACACGTAGGCATGGCGGGATTCCATGTCTACGTCTACGTCAGGTTTGGAGTCTACGGTCCTTCATTGCAAAGCCACCTCCGAGCGGTTTCGGACCCACCGAGAGGGTCGAACCCGGTTTGGGACGACTAAGAGAGGTCTGACAGGGACGAAACTGGATCGAACCTGACTGGCTCGCACCGGCTCGGGCGAAGCGGACATCGCGCTTCGCGTTCCGCGCTTCGCTCCCCCACAGGCCAACTTCAGAGCCTTCGATCAGGCCGCTGCGTTTTCCAACAAAGGGAGGTGAGTTGGAAGCCAGCGATCTCTTTCGTCCACGAGGAGTGAAAGATGACAGATTTCGTGGACATGATCCTTTCCAAGATCAACTCATTCTAATCTCTGAAATATCTTAGCAAAGAAGGCTTTTTTTCTTCAGAGATTAAAACATCCTCCAGAAGCAAACCATGGGGTTAAATCTTTCTTTGTCTTTCACCTCCTGCAGCTGAAATTCTACAAGAGATGCACAAGATATGCACCATGGGGTTTGCAATCCAATCCCGGCTGGCGGAAACCAGCAGATGATGGAAGTAACTCCAAATGTCGACGCGACTTGGACCAGCCAGGTGCCTGGTGGCCACTTCAACAAGATGTCGATCCCCTCGGAGGCTCCCGCCCCTTGGCACCCTGAGCTTCGGGTTCGCACCCTGCGGGCCTTTGGCACGAGCGTCACGAGCGAGAGCGAGGGGTTCGGCGCGGGTGACGAGTTCGGCGACCGGACGAGTTCGGCGTTGCAAACGGCGGGGCGCCAGAGGATCTCGATGGCTTTGGATTTCCGAGAAAAAGAAGGGATGAACACCAGGTAAACATCGAGGGCCGCAAGGGAAGACACAACCTATGACCCAGGAGAAACCGAGGAGGCTCACAACCTGCGAAGCTCTTAATAGTAGCGTCGCCCAAGACACCACGCCCAAGCTGTGCGGAGAAGGTTTCTTGGTTCAACCTTCCACTGCGAGGCGGTGGCCGGCCGTGGCCTTTAACGGTCCCAAGGGGGGACGCATGGCCCGAAGATGGTCGGTCCCAAGTTGGGTTGTGCCCGTGGCCTCCGTCTCGGGTGTCCATGCGAAGCTCGCTCGCTCGCTCGCTCGCTCGCGCGTCGACGTGTCGACGGGTTGGTCAACCGCCGTGTGGCCACGGAGACCTTGGCGGTCCGAGATTGGAAGGTTGCCGTGTGGCTTGTTGCTGTGCCTGGCATGCCTGGTTTGGCTTGGACAGATTCTATGTTTCTCTTCGCCCTTTTCACTGAGACCCCTTTGGCGAATCCAACAGTTATGCCACCGTAGACCCCAAACAGGTGACCGCCGTGAATCAGCATCTCGCAAAATGACCAATGGAAGGCATTGCTTTTGCCAGGCAGGCAGGCGCAGTAGCCCAGACTGGGAGACAAATATAAAGAATTGCTACTAGTAACAAGAAGCTAGTAGAAACAAGTGCATCGCTTCTAGTAACAAGTGCCTTACTAGTAGTAACAAGAAGCTACTAGTAGCAAGAAATGCATAGAATTGCTATTGAGCACTTGCCAGAAGGCGGACTCACTGGCCAGACCACACTGCGAGACACATGTATAGAATTGCTACTAAGGCCAGAAGGCGGACAGATTGAGAACCCAGATTGAGGCGGACACACTTAAAAGCATTGAGAACCCCAACAGCAAACTGCTTGGGGAAAAAGGAACATATTCACATTTCCAGGTTCGAAGCAAAACTCAAGTGTTTGGGATTCTCCATGGGATCACCGAAAACCTCTTCGCTTCCAATTCAGCGAGTCGGCGGACCTCTCGGCGAGACAGTTCGCCACCGACTAAGGGCTATGTGTTGAATGGACAGTTCCAGGGCCTGCCACAGGCCTGCGCGCCGCTCGCGCGGTGTGTGCTCTGGCACAGCGGGATGGCTCACCGCTCGGGCTGAGAATGGTGGGGGTGTCCGAAGTGGAAGACATGAGGAGAAGACACACGAGCAGCTGTGAAGATCTTGCTTAAAGACTGAAAACTATATGAAAGGAATTCGGGGGTTCACACTGAGTCGCTGCTGGGAAGGCATCATATATTGGGTGTAGGTCAAACCACTGGAATCTCCGCATGCTCGCAATAGCAATTGAAACTTGGGTCTGTCCTACTACCTGTAACAGTGGGGTAAACCATTATATCTATTTCTTTACTAACGATCATCATCCACAGTTACTGGTAATGGGATAGACTCAACTTGGAACACCAATCAATCAAGTGTTCTGTGGCCAACGCCTGGGACCAACACCTGTCTTCCTCCGACGCTTTCCCACGCCAACCTTCTGTGTCCATCTCTCCTTCGTCCGTTGCAGGGGGCGCTCTCCAAACCTGCCGTTGGGGGAGCTCAGAGGGTCGGAGGGTCTCACGGCAGGATGTCACGGCGGCGCTCGTCGTTGCGGTGGGGTGGATCGTCGTTGGGGTGGATCGGTGATGGCTGCGCATTCCACCATTGGAAGGAGGGAGCTGAAATGGTTTCCGCAGAGTGTGGATCTCTTTGGCCGTTGCAGCCTGGTGTGAACAAAGAAGTAACGCTTGTGACCAGTGACAGGGGCCGCATGTGAGGGAGCTGATCTTGGTTGGTCGTGTTTGTTGCTTTGTGGAGTTTCAATCAAGCATATCATCAGTTTCTGTGGACCTTGATGTGGACACTCGATTGCTGGAACCTTTGAGAGTCACCCCTGGTTGGACACCATGTCTTGTACGAATTTTTACAACCAAGCTCTCCACAAATCCCAGGTTCTCAGCAGTGGAGCGTTCCATTCACTGCCCCTGGATTGCGTGTTGGATTCGCGTACTTGGGGATTGAACATCACTGAAACTGCTTGGACTTGCTTGGAAGGAACGTTTGGACTGTCACCGGCACACATAGCCATAGCCATAGCCACATGTTGCTTAAACCCATCTCCCAGTCTGCAGGTCGCCAGCACCTGTCCATCCCTCCACCACTTCCCTCCACGCCTCACTGACTGGTCAAAAGAGTCCAAATCCACTCGTTGCAGGTCTACATGCAGCCTAGCCTTCCGACGCCCTTCAACTGCTTCTTGCGCAAAGCAGCAGGTTGTGGGTGATGCTTTCCTCTTTTTCTGGAACGTGAAATGGTCCCCCAAACATCGGGGAAAGGTCCTGTTCATCTTTTTCCCCAAACATCTGGACTTGGGAATGCTTCGTTGTGTGTCCTACCTGTTTGGGGTCTACGGTGGTGTAATTTTTTAAAGATTCTTTTTCGGCTTCATCTGTTGAATGAGCCGCCCAATCTGAAAATGCTCCGAGGCTTCCTCATTGGCGACGGAGGGCTCAGTCCGCTGAGCCCCAAGGACGTCCAGGTGCCAAGCCCACCGTCACCCACCTCCTTCATTCAGGCGGGGGCCACTGAACTCATCTGGACCGAAAACTCACCCTGCACCCTGCACCCCAGGTATCATGACATGCAACCTCATGCAACGAACCACTTCTTTTGATATGGCATATGTGCGGCTGCACCCTGCGCTCGTCGACTTTGGCCTCCTGTAAGGGGACCATTTTCGGGGCCCAGGCAGATGGTCGTGGCTGGGACGCCACGGCGGCTCGTAGCGAGGTCCGGGAAGGTACGCGTCACTCTTCAGATCCTGATGAGAACAGATGTTTATCCTCTTACCTTTTCCCAGGTCCGACCTGAGTCCTCACTTGAAGTTCAACACATGTAGAACCGTGTTTCTGGCCAACATGCCGCTGCCAGGCCTTTCCCTTGATGCCCCTCCAGCAGGAGCGACAGCCGCAGGTGCGGGTGTTCGTGCTCATCGTTGAGGTACATTTAGAGGGTTGGTAGGATGGGGTGACGAGTCCGGATGTTTTGAACCTTGAACTTTGCTTGTCTCCAATTCCTGGTTCCTGTTCTCAAAGACTGACTTAGTGGTCTCCCTTCTGCGACAGATCACCAGATTTTGCTGCTTTCTTCTATAAAAAACCACTCGCTACGTCTTTCTTCGCCTTTCTGGCGTCGCTTGTGCGCCTGGTTTCCAAACTGGAGTTGTCATTCTCCCATAATCTCCCAGATCCTTCCCCACCAGCATATCGGCGCCATTCGGCGCCCATGCCTCAAAAGGCATTCCGTTTTTTGGCGGCGTGTGGCGGTTTTTTTTGCCGCCATTGGCTTTGCAGATACAGTTTCCATGCATGCTGCTCTTCTCTCATCGGCGAAAGACATCTCTTGGACTCCCGGAAAAGTCTCCGACATTCATCGACATTCATTTTTCATCCTTTTCTATGTGTGGCAGGTGTGGGTGTCACTAGGAACAGAAGAGAAGTCAGACTGAGTTCATCTAACCGCCTGCTGAGCACTTGACCACGCGATAGTCGCGAGTTTAGCGGTTCGATGACCGGGCGAGTTAGCTCCATCTCAAGACTCATCCGTCGAGCCCCGTTTTCAATTCCCGGTTCGATCGTCGATGGGATTGGAGATGGCCATGGAACATTTGGAGACTCCCATTATTTTTCCGATTCCCAAGTGCGTTTGACAGGGTTCCAAATGATCAAATGCATTATCCAAGGGAGGGTGTCTGATGTGTCTGTCGATGTGTCTGTCTGTTACCTGTAACAGTCAGTAAGCAATTATCACTATTGTTGAACAAGGCCTTTACTAACCATCATCCACTGCGCCCAGGTGTTAGGATAGACCCAAGGGAAGGTGTTATGATGTGTCTGTCTGTGTCTCTTTCGCGTCTTGCAACGTGAACACCGACTACGCAGGTGATCCCATTCCTGCAGCCTTCGCAGGTGCCACAGTCCACTTGCGCCGACCAGGAGACAACGGACGAGAGATCGACGGGGCGGTGTTTTTGCACCTTTTGAGAAGACCTTGGCCTGTTGATAGCAGTGTGAATTCGCAGCGCTGGTCACTGGGTCGTTGATTTGGTTTTTCCTGATCTTGGACCTTCAACATGTGGTTTGGCCGGCGCTCGGTCCTTGAGAGGCGATCGAACCCTGGTGATTGAGTGGTTTTGCGATGCAACAGTGGGCCGGCTATCAGTCTGAAGCATCGCCTCCGCTTCCGAACCGCACGACCAATCTCACTTCGCCCCTTAACAAGGGCAGTCAAAGATCCCCTTGTTCTGGGTGATGAGGCCATCACTTGGTCTTTACCTCTTTTACCATTTTACCAGCGCAATCCCGACCCCAGAGCACTCTTGGCAAAGGGGTTTTGGTCTCCCTGATTAGTAGAGATGAGTTTCTGCAGATCCCATGAATGGTGGCAAACTGCTGACTCCCTTGCCCGCCTTGCCCTGTGGCCTCTCTTCTTCTCTCCTCGGCCGCCCCGGCTCCTTCACCTGCAGGAGGCCAGCGAAGGCGGGGGGGGTCAAGGTCAAGGTCAAGGTCAAGCTCGACGACGCGACATCCGTCCGAAAGTGCCCGCCAGGGTCGGACGGGTGGAGCAGGTTGAAATGACATCCATTGGAGGTCGCTTTTTGATCACCTTTGGCCACATGGATTAGACACCTTTTGAGCACCCCTTCATTTGACCAACAGATGTTTGAGTCGGAAGAAGCGAGATGAAACACCCCTTCATCCACCAACGGCTGCCCCTTCTCCAGGTAGCATCGGGCATCCAGAGCTTTGTAGGCGCCGGTGCTCCGGTGCGTTCGGTGCTCCGTTTCGCCCGCGACGGTCCCCGAGGTGGGGGGAAGTGAGGCTCGGCGAACGACACCTTCCGAGCTCGCTTTTTCTGTTTTCGTTTTTGGACTCCTAAACTAAACAACTAAATCAAAGACGCTCAAGCCAGGTTTTTGAGCCCTAGCTTTCGCCGCCTTAAGAGAGGCGGCTCTTGCTAGGGCGAAATGCTTCGCTGCACGTGTGCAGCTTCCGGAAGCGACTTTTGGGACTCCTCCAGAACGAAACGACTCGTGTGTGAAAGGGGGCCATCCTTCACTTGGCACTCGTGTGTGAAAGGGGGGTTCCCGCCCACGTCAGAGAACCGGCGCCCACGTCGAGACGTGGCGCCCGGAGTACAATTGGTGACTGGTGGCGCAACATGGAACGAATTGGACCGGTGGCTTCGACCCTTTTTCCGAAGACCAACGTCGTGGTTGTTGGGCTTCGTCAAAAAACGTGGTCCGTTGTAGCACTTCGTAGCTCTTCCTTTTGGAACCGTACTTGGCAGAAACACCTCCAAAGCCAATGACCCTGCTTGAACCCCCACTGCAGTGGCTTGAACCCCCCCCCGCAGTTCTCTCAGCTCACTGTTTGAGACTTGGAGTTTGGTGGCAGCTTGGAGCGGATGCTCAAGAGGAGCACCCTAAGACCCCACTGATGAAGCGACGTTGAACATCAATTAATCTGAAGGAGATGAACGTAAGGAGAGGCAACAGGCACAGGAGGTCAGTAGCAAGAATCTGACGCAGGAAGGGAAGGTTGACAGACCACTTGCTTCGGATACTCTTAAAGCATGATAAATCATACCACTTGCTGGTCCTGCGTTTTGACCATCTTGACCTCTTTTGCAGAGCACACACCCGGCCAGACACCCCCTGGGGTGCCATCGGCCCATCGAACCTCTGAAACCACGGAGCGACCGTGCTTCGAGTCGTCCAGGCGACCATGCTTTTACTTCGCCCGGCAGCCCAGCCTCGCTGGCGACGTCGGCCGCGAGCACGGCGCCCCCGTCCGTCGGTTCCTCGGCTCGTCCGAGGCCAAGGGATGCTGCGAGAACGGCGCCCAGTGCGGATATTGTCACCTGCCACATGGAGAGCGGGTGCGCTTCAGCCGAGCGAAGAACTTGGGTGGGGTGTGATTCGGAACGCTTTTTTGGGGTAGACAGAGACATGTTACAATGTGATGAAGAGTTGAGAGTTTTTTTTGGGGATTGGGGAATATGATGAAGACTGGTGATTAAGAGAGTTCAGAGTTGAGAGACAGATTAAGACAGAGTTCTGTGTGAAGAGACATCCATCCACTTGGGGATTCCCGTTCTGCACCGGGCATTTGATCCAGGCCTCGCCAACGTCTGCTCATGCGGGAGTGCCCCGATCGACGGTTGCACGACATCGTGAAGAGGTTGTTCAATCCCAACCTAGGGGAATATCTCTTCATCCACCATCTATATGACCTGCCTTTGTTTTGTATCCTTTGGTCTCTGTTTCCCTTGACCCCGCACGCTCTCCCGCAAGCGGTGTACGGTTCGGTTGTCGTCTCTGTCCAGGCGCCGAAGCTGGACAAGCGCCAGCGCCTGGTGCTCCAATCGCTGCCCGAGAAGCTTCTGTTGGAGCGAATCGTCGTCGCCCCGAGTCGTGGTGGAACCGGTGGAACCGAGTCCAACCTACTACGGCCGTGGCCTGGGAGGTGGACATCTCTAAGAGTCCATATTAATATACAGTATATATATATATGTATCTTCCATATTCTTCCATATTTATAGACCTCCAACCTAGTAGCTTCTTGTTCCTAGTAGCGTCCTTGCTCCTAGTAGTAAGGCCAGGAGCCCCTAGTAAGAGCTTTCTTAGACTTGTTTTTCTTTTTTGTCTTTGTTTCTAGCCATGGCCTCCAACCTAGGAATGGCCTCCAACCTAGTAGCGAAGGCCTCCCCCCTAATAGCGATGGCCGCCAATCTAAGAGCAATGTGATGAAGTCAATATTTTGTTTGTCCCAGGAAAGCCGTAACAGTCGGTACGGCCGGGCCTGATCACGATTTTAGAGATGGTGACTGGCCTGCAACCCTAACTATCATCCACTGGGTCCAAATGTTTAGACAAAATAAGCTACTAGGAACAAGTGCATCGCTACTACTAGTAACAAGTGCCTTACTAGTAGTAACAAGAAGCTATTAGAAACAATAAGTAAATATATGCTTAAGTTTATGACATTGAAATTGAGGCCCACCCGAGGTGTGGAACATGGGGGGAAGGTGAATGGGGCCTCTTCTCGGAGCGAGTGAGAAACGGAGGAGCTGTGTGGGGTGAAAGAACGGGTCGAGCTGTGTGGGGTGAACAGAGGGTGAAATCCACCGAAGAGCCTTGGGAACCAGTGAGTAAGTAGGAGTTGGAGCCATCATACCCTTAGATCGAAAGAGTTGATCCTTTGCACCCCTAATCCATGGTAAAAGGGGAAGCAGCCAAGCATGGTGGGAGAAACTGTTCGGGTTTAGCTGTTCCTTCGTGCACTGACACGGTGGACTATAGTATTCATTCGGTTCTTGGAGCTGAAGAGCCGTCCCATGGATCTAGCTGTCCCCCTTTCTGTGGCCTTCCAAGACGTTCTAAAAGGTGGAAGTGAAAAAAAACATCGTATATAAAACAAGGGTTGTTCGGCAACGACTGTAAACACCATGGCCAGTCTGTTTCGCCGCCCTGGGCTCTGGATCCGACTTGGTTAACAACTCGCGGGGGTTTCCAGCCCCATCCCAAACCCTGAGTTTTCTTCGCTCTAGGGTGCGAAGACCAGACTGTTTGGTGCTCACATCGCATGAAACGAGAGCGAAGACGTCGCACGGGAGCCAGGAGATGCTCCAGCGGGCGGTGCGCGGCCGGGCGGAGCAGCCACTTGGTGCGAAGCAGCGTGCACCGTGCGAAGAACACACCACGAGAAACGGCCGAAACGGGCACTCGGGTTTTCTGACTCGGTGCGACGAACGTAGGGAATGAGGGTGGCTGGTTTCCTTTTGCAATCTCTCTTGGGAGCGAAACTTCCCTTATTCCCTACGAGCCGCACCAGTCGGTTTTGGAGAGTTGGGAACATGTGTCCTACGTGTTGCTTGGGGATTTTCCTGCATTTTGCGTGTATGGGGCCATGTTCTTGTGTAGGGGCACGTTGCAAGCTGCGCTGCTTGGATGCGAATTCCCAGGAGGCTTTGGGGAAGAACCGACGAGTCGAGACGAGATCCTCGACCGATCACCCACCGAGTGGATCCTGCGGTCTACAAAAAGGAACGTCCAAGGAGATTGGGACAAAGTTCCTCCTCTTTGAGGTGCCATCCTGTAGCACACATTGTTCCTAGGTCCTAGTAGCGATGCCAGGAGCCCCGAACGTAGCTAGCGTCCGAACGCTCCGTTCGGTTCGCGATGCCCGAAATGCTGGCTCAAACTCAGGGTGTCTGTAAGTCATAACTCCCAACTGCTTCGGTGTAGAGACCCTCTGCGTCGGACGACCAACCTTACGACCAGTCCACCGAACCGGAAGTCCTCCGTCCTCACGGTGGCCGTGGTTTCGGGGAGACGCAGGCATGGAAGTTGACCCATTCTTCCAAGAGAGGTAGCCAGTGACCGGGACCATAGGACCCGGAAAACCTGGGGTACCGGTCCCTGGGATGGTCTATATATCGGGTCCTGACCCACCTCTGTTGGTGGTTTCCGGCCGAACCTACGAACCAAAACCGTTTGGGAGGACGGTGCCGCCGCTGATCCGCTGATCCGCTGATCCGCGCCGCTCCCGCTCCCGCACGGATCGATTTGTAGCAGATGAAGCACTGAAGAATGGGGCAACGATGTTGACCGCTCGGTTTGGGGGGTTCAAACATGTTCAAACCATCACCATTGCTCAGTCTCAGTGGCCCTAGGCCCTAGGCTTCCAACCACCATTCATTTAAATAGGCCTTACTGCTTTTACCGAATGAACTAAGGATTTTACACTATACAAAACCAGCTGTTTTTTTTTTTTTTTAATGGGTCGAACTGGACGTCTAAGTGTCTGCATCCCTTCCAACGGATTCCATGCCGAAGTGGATGACGGAGCTTCGATGTTCCGAAGGCCGAGACTCCCCTTCCACCGGTCGGCCGAGACCCCCTGCGGCTGGGTCGGAGGGTCGGAGGGTCGGCCGGCGAAGCCAACGAAGGAACGCGACCATGCCTGGCCCGGCGATCGCTGAGATCATGCAGCTGTGGGAGAGGTGGGATGGGGATTAAGGAAGATTGGTCGGAGGTCTGGAGGTCATGCCGGGGGAAGAGAGTAGGGTTAGTGGGAAGACAGTGCGATCTATTCTGAGCTTATTGGGTTCTGTCCTAACTTGTGCTTGGCGACGCCCTTTTTTCGCATTGTGCTGCAGAAGGCTGGTACACCGGGGTCAGTCAGCCAGGAACGTCGGAGGTCGCCAGGGCGGTCGAACGTGCGTCGAACGTGCGACGCAGACGTTGAACCAAGACCCTCGTCAGGTACCCCAGGTGAGGTCGCTCCCCGGTGATTCCAGTCTTCCGGACCCCGAGATGGGAGGGCGGCCTGGCGGCCTGGTCAGGCCTATGTTGGAGAGGTCAAGTGACCGGGACCATAGGACCCGGAAAACCTGGGGTACCCGTCCCTGGGATAGTCTATATATCGGGTTCTGACCCACCTCTGTTGGTATGTTGGAGATGGTTGTTCCGTTGAAGGTGACAAACTTTGGCAGATGAGAGGGCTCCCTGGGCTGGGCGGCCACTCCGCCCTTCGACCTACCTCGGGTCCAGGCGCCTGACCTGCCTGAGCACTTCGGGCGTCGACACCGTGTCGGGCGAGGAACCGGTGCCCGACCGGCCACTTGGAGCTGCAGGGTGTGGTTCGCAGGAATGGGTGGTGTGGGGTTCGAGTGTCTCTTGGAGACCATCCCTTTGATCTGATTTCCGGTTCTAGCCATTGAAGTCAGATCCATTGGTTGAAGAAGTCAGTGTGGGTGGGTTTGGTACAGGTCCAGTTGGTAGGTCCATGTGACCCCTGCAAGGGGCGACCCTGCAGGGTCACGGTGTGACCCTGCAAACGACGGTTGCTGGTTTGAGTTTGCCTATGTTTTTTCGCACCGTTCGATGGGTGAAAACACGCATTCGATGGCCGATGGTGTTCCCGTTTTTCTTGGGAGAGTTGAAGTCTTTTTGAGCCTGGTGTTCAGACGGTTGGATGAATCTGGATGCACAAAAGTTTTTTCGTTAAATCCGTCTCCGGAATGGGTTGAATCCATCTCCACAGTTTTTTTGGATTCATCAACAACAGTCTAGTTGTACACATTGGATGAATCCACCACAGTGTGCCCCAGGATCTCCAACCCCGGTGTGTCTGATGCGAGGTACGTGCGAAACTTGAGCAAGATCCTGCGGAGGTGGGGACGGCTTCGGTGGAAAGGACATGAAGACGGGACCACAAAGACCCATGTCTCTTCTTGGCATTTGCATATGGTGGACTTGCAGCATGACAACAGTTTTGTGAGGGTGTGATGATATTCGGGGGATGCTCGTGGCATCGTGCATATTGCGTTTTGTGGTGCCCGAAACTCGGGTCCTCCCTCGCTTGGAATCCCTGAGAGTCAATGAAGATGCGTCGGTGCCCCCCAGGCAGTGGGTGACTGGTTGACCTATACCTGGAAGGTCGTTCAGTCGTTCACTATATGGTGCTGGGGCTCCAGGTTTTGACATACCAAAAAGGAGGCAAGATGGAAAGAAGACTGTCGGGGTTTCCGGTTTCTGGCTCTCTCACCAGTGAACCACTCCCATGCTGGGGAAGTCCCTGCTTCAATAGAGTTTATAAAGGAACCCCTGTGATTTCAGCACGCTCGAATCCCAAAGCCTTAGACGGGCCTCCCATAAGAATCCTCCCTTTCCCAACAACACTTGGGGGGCACAGACAGCGCTTCCTCAATGTGTTCTGAGCATACTAGCTGTCGCTGGATGTTCCTGTTGCTGGACATCAATTTCTGTCTGAAATGCCTTGCAATGGCCCAGTCTTCAGTGCAGGCCAGTCAAGCAAATGCTTCCGCGCTCAAGAGCGCCACGCTCGGCTTAGTGTGGCAACAACTCTTGGCTTCCAGACCTCTGACTCTCTCGGTCTCTCCAGCGCGCCGCAAATGCTTCCGCGCCTTCCGCCCGACTCGGCCAAGGGCCTCCTCAAGTCGTCCACACATCGATGGGACCTCGCTTGACCTCGCTTGGGAAGAAACGGAGGTGATGACCAGTCACCTCAGAGATGCCCAAAGATCGGGAGGATCCATCCTTCTCAGACCGGTTTTGCCAGGTTTCATCACTGCGTCCGTGTCTTTGGACCTTTTGGGTAGCGGACGAACGCTCCGTTGTAAGGCCAAGGGTGCTTGCAGCGTTGTCGCGTGGTCGTGTTGCACATGGCTCCATGAGAAACAGAGGCTCGTAGGTTTAGGCGTCAGGCCGAACAACATGTCCTTGCTGGGACATCAACTTGCTGGCATTGCACCAAGCGTCGAGAGAATTGGACGATCTAATAACCAGATGCTTGCTTCACGCTCAGATTCACCACACTCTGCTAAAAAGGTGTGCCATTCACAGAGGTTGCCCACATCAAGGTCTCCCACAAGGCTGCCAAGAAAAAAGAGAATCCCAACAAAAGGCTGATGCTCCCACAAGGTCTCCCACAAGGCGGCCAATTCAAGAGATTCCCAGCAAAAGGGCTGCCAATCCTCATGTGTTGGATGCTCTCGCCCCATGTCATTTCCGGACATGCAAGGGGCGCGCCGGACCGCCCTGGCTCTTGGGTCTCGCTGTTCCCCTGCAACCCAAGCTATCAGAGACCCACATTGCTATCAGCTTCCTTGGGTTTCTCAAGTCCCCCCCCCAGTACCTGTCAAAGATGATATCAACCGACAGCGCATTTTACACTCTTGCTACACTCCTTAGAAATGATCCTGGAAGTGGAAGATGATCACTTGTATGACCATTTCCGCAATTTCCCTCTACAAAACAGGGTGGTCTTTCACGTCCAAGGATATTTTCAAGGAGTGCACATGTTCTTTACATCTGATTTCCGGAACTTCTGCACCACCTGAACCCTGAACCTGAACACTCTCTAAAAGAAGTGGAGATTCTTTTTCCAATCTCCCAGATGAGACGAACCCGCCTGGAACCCTAAACAACCAGACACAACTGGTTGTTCAGAATGTGGCAATTGAAATCCTTTACATACGAAATGGCTCTTTGGGGAGTTCCATCCACTTGGCACTGGGCTTGTCCAACCCAAAATGTCAAAGGAGTATCCCTATCCTACTCAGTGAACGACCTGGAACTGGGGAGTTCCATTTCACTCGTTCTGCTTGCTTAGGACTGGCAGAAACGCACATACCGGCGCTTCCAAGCGCTTCCATACGCCGCCGCTTCCGCCGCTTCCAGGATGAACATCTCGGAGCTGGTGGTTTCTGGGCGGCAGAGACACTGGGTTTCCGGGTGCAGATGGAATGGGGCGACCCATGGGGATGGAACAAAGGAGGATGAAAAAAGGCACATGCCCTGTCAAATGGCTCGTTTTTTGGTTCCTCTGAATTAAGCAAGACTCTGTTCTAAAGCGTTGTCTTGCTTTCCTATTTGCAAGATGTTTCCTGTTGGGACAGGAAGAAGCTGTGGACATTTGTGACGTCCGTTCAGCGAAATGGACGTCACTTGTGTGAGACAAGCTACGAATCGCGGCAACGAGCACGCAATCTGTTTCGAGCATCCGTCAGTTCTCCAAGTTGCGAGCTCTCGAATCTTATCGATAGAAAAGTGAGGGTGCTTGACATCACAGGGCGCCCTGTCAAAATGACATTACTTGCAGTCAAAGTGAAAGCACGCTTATTAAACATGAGAGTATGCTTAGATATCTCTCTGAATTGACATCGTCACACATTCTCTTGACACCTGAAATGAATGCTTCCCCCGACCCCCCCCCAGGCTGTCGACAAGACATATGGGAACCCTGTCGATTCTCTTACCAGGTCTCGGCCTGACACCAGGTTTCTCTTGCATAGTGGATTGAGAGTAGATGGCACAGACCCCACTGTCGGTGGTTTATATGGACCCCCATCTTTTCAGGACATCTGGTAATCTGTGCCATCGAACCTCTGAAACCACTGTAATAACGGCCTCCTTCCTACCAGAATCTTTTCTGTATTTCCTTGAGCCCCAATCCTATAAAAGCACATCTCATCTTTACAGGAGCTTCTGCCTTGCACAAGAAATGTTCTGGTCTTTGATCTCATCCTTTCTGAACGGTTCTTTTCATGAGGTCCTCGCCCTGTCTGAGCAAATCATTTCCATCCTTCCTTCAGAAAGATTCGAGTGTTTGCTTCAACAAAACGGTCGCTGCAAAACATTTGCCCCCCTGCAGAAGTGAAACTCACCACCTTGCTGGAAAACACCTGGAAGACACAGAAGCCAGAAGTCTTCGCGGATGGATGTTCGTTGGCTGTTCAATTCTAAGCCTTCTAGTGGACTTGATACGTCTGGTTTTGGGTGTGTCCATGTCAAAGGGGTTTGATCCTGCATGGTTTCACCGTGCTGGGTGCCTAGCACGTAGCAAGCTTGGTGACTCGACACGATCAACAAGTTGTCATGATCGACCAGGTTTGGTTTTTTCATGATCGACGTCCTTCTCAAAGCACACTTTTTAGGGGTTGCAGGATCCACTCCCTTTGACAGGTGTCCCACCGAGAACAACTCTTGCAAAGGTCTGGATTCAAGCATTCCATAGATTTCAATAGATTTCAAGAGGGTTAGACGATGTTTCACACAGGTTTCTGTCTTTGGAGGAGGTGTTTCCACCTTCGTTTTAGCTTCAACTTTGCAGGGCGTTTTCACCACTTTCAGAGGAAAGACAGGGTTGAGCCTTTCAATGCATAAAGAAGGCTATCACGATACCAGGTGAGAACCTCACAAAAGGACACACTGTTCATGAAGAATGCAATGCTTCAAGAGATCACATTTCTTTGCAAGGACAATATTTTTCTAAGAATCAAGCACGGATGAAGGACAGGACCCTCATAATGGAGGAACCCTGCGGTAGCACTTCTGATTGACAGAAATTGTGAAGATGTGTGAGTGTGGTTTGACTTAAACCGTTTGGTAGTCTGGTAGAGAACTTTCACTTAGACAATAGGATTCATGTATTTATACGGAGGATTCCAGAAAGTACTTTAATATTTTGCAATTTTCTGGCAGTGAAGTAAGAAGTAGGATTGCACAGGACTCTTCTAGAGAATCATACTCACCCGTACTTAAGAGAATTCCACAAACCGTCAGATTGTTGCAAAGCATGTTGCGCAACACTTCCCAGGAAGTATCTCTCTCTCTCTCTATATATATATCTCCAAACTTCCAAACATCTAAGAATCATGACATCCTAAGATTTCCAGTATACTTTAGATTTTATAAGACCGAAGTAGTCTGCACATCGAAGTGGTTGACCGTAGGGCTTGATGTGTTAGTTTTTTGGCCAAATGGGTGCGGACGTCCGCATGGGGGGGTCGAGGTCGACGGACCTACCCGGATGTTCGGGTCCAAAAGCATCGAAGCCGACCGGGACCCGTAGTCTGGATGCGTGGGCCCCGCACCATTGAATAGAAATCGCCGGGTCATCCCGGTCATCCGGAATCACCATAAATAGGAAAACCAAGTCGAACCATGGTAAAAGGGAACAATATGGTTGATTGATGGTCGAAGCATGGTTATACCCTGTTCGGGTTTTGAGGGTTTACACGACCAAACCGGGTCTCTCCTCTTTTTTCAGTCTTCGTCCAACGGGTCGAACGGAAGGCAGCCCGGGTATACTCGCACACGCGCACACTCAGGATGCTTAAATAGCAGACCTGGCCACAGTTTTATTCCAACGGAGGTTTTTTGTGACTGTCAATTGGACCCGGATCACCACCTGGGGTAGTAAACCCGTCACCTGGGGTACCATCTTTTAGGGGCGGAGTTCATCACCTCAGTTGGATGGCCACCGGTGCTCCGCCTCCGAGGCCTTAGCGATCCGCGGCGCCAAGGAGGATAGCGCCTATGTCTCGGAGCTGCGCGAGGCCGGGGGGGCGGAGCGGAACCAAGCCGGGCGTCCCGGGTGGCCGGTTTTCATTGTTGTTTTGGTGGTATCCCTGAGGATCGGAGTGATGAAATAGGCAACAATCGGCTGAGTAGGTTGCAGAGAGGCTTTTTGTTTTTGTGTTTGCGTTCGTTTTCTGGGGGCTTTCGGATTTCCGAACCCCAAAACAGCGGTTGTTTTTGGCCGGAAGAGTGGTGGGGGTGTGAACAGAACAGAACAACGGGACGCAGCACACACAGTTTTGCAAAGTTTGCCACATACTTGGGGTGGACTCTTATTGGGTGTGGTGAAGGAACCAAAACTCAGCCAGGGAAGAACTGAAGAAAATAGCGGGCGAGAGTTGAAAGCAACTGATTGATCTATATTGTTGTAATTGGGTGTGGTGAACAGAAGCTGACTGGATCATCCCAGACGAACATGAGCACAGTGGTTCACTAACACCACTTGCAAGGCTCTTCAAGGCGACAATCATTGAGGTTCTAGGGAAATCATCCCCCAGGTCTTGACCACGCTGTTTGACTGGTGCTTAGCAGGGAATGAGGGTGGCTGGATCCAATAGAATCTCTATTGGGGCTCATTCCCTTATTCCCTACTTTCGTCGCACCAGTCAGCTGTTCATTTGAGTGAAGAACCCCCCCTGCCCCACCCGCAGCCCATGTTCAAGGCCCACATTCGTGGTCTCCGCTGTGCCCAAACGAGCCATTTCGTGCCGAACAAAAGATCGCCCCTACCCATTGGTGCAGGAGCTCGTCCAGTCTCGTTGGTCCTGGTTGTTTGAGACTTGGTACCGTCTTCTTTCTTTGAGCCTTCGAGCTTGATCGAAGAGAGTTGGCATCAAGGTCTCCAAGCTCCACGCCGCGGGAGCTTGAATTGGTGCCGAAAGCGGACTGCAGCCGAGACCAAAGGCAGAAGCCAAATCATTCCAACCACAAGAATCCCATCCCGTTTGGGAACCCAAAGCCGTGAACCCTGAAGAACTCTGCACCATCAGCACGTCTTCTACCTGGCCTTGTGTGCTTGCTTCCGACTTCTGAGTCGGACGGCCCGCCGTCCGCCAGGCGTTGGGACGCTTGCGCGAGAAGTCCATGTGACGCACCTCGTCGTCGACGCACCTCCTCACAAGGACCATGGAGTAGGACCGCGTCGGCACCCGAACCTCTCCGCGCGCGGTGTGGTTCGGGCCGGTGTGGGGAGAGGTGCCATGGGACGAGAGATGCCATGGGACGAGAGGTGAGGGGGCGAAGGAGTGATGGGAGAGGTTGGCATCGATTGGGTGGGCTGTTGGATGAAACCCACCTTTCTTCTCCTGGGAGGCAGTTCTGGACATGCCTTTTGTTTTCAGGCAAAGAACTGAACTCTCTTCCCGACAAGGTCATGGCTCCAGGGCGCTCCCTGGTCTCCTGGTCTCCCGGTCCCGAAAGACCGAAATAGGTCGAGAGAAGAGTTGTGAGGATTGTTGCTCTATGAAATGGGGATCCTTGACCTCTATGATATGGGGTCTTGTTTTCAGGGGCTCATCTCATAGAGCAGTGTGGAAATGAGTGTTTTCTGGAAGATGCCAACAATTCCATGGCAAAAATCGTTTTGAGATGGTTTGAGTTGCTCATTCCATCCATTTGTTTTTGAGTGTTTTCTGTTATGACCCAACTGCAGGAGTTTCATGAGGTCGTTCACTGAGTAGGATAGGGATACTCCTTTGACATTTTTTGGTTGGACAACACCAGTGCCAAGTGGATGGAACTCCCCAAAGAGCCAGTTCCTATGTAAAGGATTTCAATTCCCATATTGGAACAACCATTGGTCTCTGGTTGGGACTGGGGGTTCCAGGCTCTACTGCCACCCCTTCATTCCAAGGGGGATCTGTGAAATTGTGTCAGAGCTTGGATAAAAAGGGAGACCTCCGCATACCTGAATGGGACGAGAAAAGGTCACACAACCAATGGATCACACTCCCCCCGCCCTGACGCGAACCATGTCACAAGTGACCCAGTCGCTTCCGGGGATGGGTCATTCCACCGGTCGTTTCACTCGTGCCCGGTGACGAGTTCTCGTCATGCGGGTCGGTGGTCGTGTCCTACCAGACCTGGAGCAGCAGCTCTTTCTAGATCGACCTCATGACCTCCTTGCCCTCCTGGTGTGTGGCTCAGTCAGACCCCAACCAACGACCAGATCCGGCTCCGGATCCGCACCGGCAGGAGTTGGTTGGGACGTGAAGCGGAAGGGATCAAGATCCGTTGGAGCAGCATTGGTGGAGCTTGATCTTCTCAGATTCGAGTGGGAAGGTAGTCACAGATGGAAAGCATGCATGGTGCAGAGCGAGCTTTACAGAATTCCGGTCAAAGATTTACTTCTGGAGTTCATTTGGTGGGAATGGGCTTGGGGCCAAACCTGCATGGTGACTGACATGTCCTTTCCTGGAGCAGTTTTTCCATGCAGCTGCGTAGATCAAGGAACACCATCAGAGCCTACCACCTGCTTCCAAGGGGTTCAATGGACAACCCTAAGCTACATAGGTCCATATTGAACACACATTGAAAGCGCTATAGGTCTTTTTTCTCAATTTTTTTTGTTTTTTCCAACCACCGCCTTACGACGTTTGCGCCATCCCGGGAAGAGACAGCAGGAGTTCACTCAAGATCTGGGACGGCGCAAATTTCTTCGGTGGGCGCCTCTTGATAGGTGTCTTGACCTCTTTAAACAGATCGAGACAAAGAAAACGATTGAGCAAATATTTGATCTGTATCTCGGGCATATGATGGAGACTTCAGGCGTTTTCTTTTTGGTGCATTTGCCGAACTTCATTGGTGGCTAGCGGCTAGCGAGCCGGTGGGGCCTTTGTCGATGCTCAAACACCCTTGGTCGCCGTGAAAAAAAACGTGGTGACTTTCCGGAGGAACCGTCCATCCGTGGCGTGGCGACCCCACATGGACCAAATGGGGAAGGTGCTTGGTAGCATCATCGTATGATTTCAGGATGAACACCGGGTAGCACCCCGCTGTCGGTTCTATAGGCCTTTGAAACGACAGGTCGAAGGCTGTTTTACAATCCATTTTCTCCACACAAAGCCTGGTGGTTCGTGGTCGAAGACTGTTTCAGAGACTTGTAGCCCTTCGGGCCCTTCGGGTGAACATCAGCTGTGATTCACATATTGAACAGTTCAGTTACTCTTCAGTTGATGGACCCGGAGGACCTCATGAACCAGGAAGACCGCAGGAAGATGGTGTTGTTTCTTGGAAACACCATTCACGTCAGAACTGAGTGGCTGCGTGGCTTGTTTAGCCTTTGGAACGGCTTTTCACGATGCTGGTGAACGATGCATGCACTTGGAAGTGCACTTTTGCCCAACCTGAGACCACCATACTCCGTTTCGTTTTTTTCCCGTTTCGGTTTTCGGAGCCTCCGTTGGACCAGCGTTGCTCCGAGAGTTTAGCCCCGTGGGCGAACACAGTCAGCAACTAGATGGCTAGATGCATGCTGAGCCCGGATGTCGAGATGCATGGGTGGCCTGGGAAAGAACACGGAACCACAGAACCACATCTATCTTTGGCTCAAGGCCCAGGGAAAATGCCACCTCAGGGTCTAAGAATGCCGCTATGAATTCATATGATCTGAAATGTGGCTACGATTGGAGGTCTTAAGAAAAAGGCCACCGTCGACGGGTCAACTCCTGCCTTTTAACGATGTGGTCTCTAGCCATTCGCTCGCATGCAACTCCTGCCGGGCCATCTGATCACCGAGAAACATCAGAGAAACCAAAAGAGGCTGCGCAAGGACCACGTTTTTGTACCTAAACGGTACACCAAGTACACCAATCTCTCACCCATGGGTCCATTGGATGTTATCCAATCGATGTCTATGGTCTATGGTGGTCTATGGTCTACTTCGGACTTCTGGCCCGGAAATTCCGGTGGCCCTTCGGCGGTCGCGTCGCATTCGGCGTCCCCTCCATGACCGGCTGTCATGACCTGCGCACTCATGCGCACTCGACGTCCGCTCCTCCAGACCGGCTCTGTTTTCAATGCATTCGGTGGAGGAGTCGAAACACTTTCCTCCCGACCCGACCGGAGGTCAAGCACGCACGGCCTGGGCTTCAAACTATACCCTCGAACACATCAGCCCAGATGTTAGGTGTTCGGTGTGTAGTTTATCCATCGGGCGATCTGGATTTGGATCGCATCGTCGATCTGGATGAGCCAAGAACCTGAAGATCGATCTTCCTTTTGAGACGAAGAATGCCTTCGTTCGAACGACGATTCCTCGGACGATCATCGACGTCATTGACCAAAACCGGCCCGTGGTTTTGGGGAAGAAGGACAGTGATGGGTTGTTTTCGTTCGGTTTCGTCGACTGCCGGTTGGTCGATGGAACCATCGATGTCCGGGACAGCGACCCTTTTGCCGACGTCTGCTTCGGGACATCTCCGTCACCGACGTCCGTCACCCGACGGACTCCATCCGCGAGGGTTGACGGACGGGGTCAGGTGAAGCTGTTGGGTCAGCGGGCATGTTCCCTTTCGCGCATGGACGTTGCAGTGGTTTTTCTTGGATTCCCCAAAGAAGATACCGCTCGCGGACCAAAAGAAGAAGCACCGCGAGCAGCTCCCAGTGCCAATTTTTTTGTGTCGTCGGACGATGGATATGTTTTCGTTCCGGTGGACGTGCTCCTTATGTTTGGGTGGGACAAAACACGGGGTCCGGAATCTTTGGGGTTTGGGGTTGACAGTGAGACAGTGAGTGTCATCTTCCGGGATTTTTTGATCCCCATCCATCCTTCACATTCACGCCTCCGCAACAGGATTCATCACGTCGGCCCTTGTTGAGCTACAACTCTTCACGATGATGATAAAACGATCAAATCCGTCGGCCCTGTGGCCCTGAACCTTCTGTCGGATCCGAATGCTTCCTCTTAATTTCCGGCGAAAAGATGCCACAGCGAAACGCAAGCATGGAAAGCAATGGATGGCTGCCCAACCGGCCTGCCAAGCCGGTTGGCTAATTACTAGAGGGCATACCCAGCGAACAAGCAATATATAGTTCTTTTTCTTTTCCAAGAAAGGACGCTGCTAGTAACACATGGCAACGCTACGAACGGAGCAAGGACGCCACTATAGTAGCTCAACTACCAGGAGCAAGAAGCTACTAGTAACAAGAAGCTATTAGGGGCTCCTGGCATCGCTACTAGGAGCAAGGACGCTACTGCTCCTCCCCCCCCTTGCGCGCGCGAGAAAAGGTCCTAGTAGCTTCTAGTTTCAATTCGAATTCTATTTTAATTTTGGTTCTATTTATTTATTGTTTCAAATAGCAAACATTGTTCCTAGTAGCGATGCCCTTTGCTCCAAGCGTCCTAGCTCCGTTCGTAGTAAGGCCAGGAGCCCCGTTCGTAGCGTCCCCTTCCGAGCGCCGCAGCCGGTCGTTGCAGCTTTCGGAGTCGTGCGAACGCGGTCAGACCGGCTTTGTGCTCGCCGCTGCCGCTCCTTCCAAGCGAGGCCACCGCCCCTTTCTGTTTTTTTTTAAAAGGCAACTTTGACACTCAGCCACCAGGGGATATATAATCTTCTCTTCAGCATTTCTGTCGACAAAATCCGTGATTCACTTATATACCTATCCCTTCAAAACGCAGAGCCCTTTCGCAAAGCCTTTTCATAGTCGTCTCCACCTTCTGTGCATTCTTGCTGGCCGGGAACTGAATGACTCCAGCAAAGTTCTTTTCATACCTTTGTAGTCTTTGCTCGAGTGAATGGAATGTGGGAGCAAAAGGCAAAAGTAAACGTGTAATGTTTTATCACTTCTCCATCGTTCAGTTTTTTCTACTCTCAGCGGGGCCGCGGTTTTGCACTGCATGTTCTTTTCAACTTTCCCACATCCTCAAGCCATGGTTGTTTCCAGCATTTGGCTTTCGTTGAAGTCAGGCATGCCACCTGTCCATGCTGCGTGAACCACCACCGTGGAGCCTCACAAAGGAGGTCATCCACGGAACCACCACCGCGGGAACCTCCCGCAGATCGGGGCATCCCGCCGGGAAGTATACCGATGCCGATTGGCGGCGAAGCTCGGGCGGATGGCGTGTCACACCATTTTAGGCCGAGAGGAGGTGAGTTCGAATGCTGAGTGCTGAGCATGTGAGACGAAATTCGAGTGATGTGGACCGTTGATTCAGAGTCCTCAGGCCGGTTTGAGATGTAACACCTGTCAACCGGTCGGGGGGGGATTGATTCATCAACCGGCTAGATGAAGCGCTCGTTGTCGAACGCTTCAAACAAGTGACTCGAGAACCTTACGCAGTGGGGGGCCAAAGACCTGGTCAATCGCTCTGTTGGGCGGTTTTCGGGTGATTCTTCCTTTCCCGAACTCGGTCAATCGCTGAACCTGGGCCCCCCAGACGATTTCTGTCTTTTCTCGTCCGGTCTTCCGAACCACCCAGGGCAGCCGGCGCCGTCGGACCTGTCCGACCTGTCTCGGGACCAGATGGGAGCGAACATGAACTGGTCATCGATGACCAGACATGAAAAACCAGCTTCTCCCCCTACTTACTCTACAGACATCTGGATGCAGATGCGGATACGGATGCGGATGCGGATCATGATGTGAGACGAAGAACGATCGCCGGATCAGATCGGGGGAACATCCAGAGACGACTCCTGGCTCTGCCACACGGGGGAGCCCGAGCTAGAGAGAGCCTACTAACCACTTTCAACCAACAGAGGTTGAAGAACCCGAACTAGGCTATCCCAGGGACGGGTACCCCAGGTTTTCCGGGTCCTATGGTCCTGGAGAGACGAAGGTTTCAACCCTTCCAAAGAACTTCTTGGCCGAAAGGCGTTCGAGTCTGTAGAGCCGTAGAGCCTGGTTCGCGAGAGCCGTAGCCGTCAGCGTTGTCTCAATTGGATAGATGGTTGGGGGGGGGGCTTTGATGAAGGCTCCTACCACATGAGCTGTGAGGTCGTTCCAAGAAAGCTCGGTGGTTCCACCAGAGATTCGATGCAAAGTGCGAGGAAACCCCGGTTTTTTATCTTTTTCGATCCAAATCCCAGGAGAAGACTCGACGGGTCAGGTCTGGTAACGAGGTTTGGAGACGACCTCCACGAGACTGAGTCGAGGCCAATAGCCGACAGAACAGGTCGACCGACGACTCACCGCGATTCGCCCGAGTTCCTGCCCCTATTCCGGCGATTCTGGGGTCTTCAAGTCGGAGCCTGGGCAGAATTCTCGGTCGCGAAGTCTAGAAGTGCTTCCATTGAACTCGGTCGATCATTTCATGCCATTTCTTGGTGCATGAAAACACCAGTGATTTTGTGGTGGAAAGAGGTCAACGGCAGCTGCTGGACCACTCTTGATACTGGACTTCAACTTCCCTCTTTGCCCCGTCTTGGGTTCTGTGCAAAAAGGAGAGGTAGAACCCCCCACA